CAGGCACAATAAAATCAAACAAAATAGAACAGAATAAAACCAGTTGAAACAAAACAATGAAAGCAATACAGGAATTCAAAACAAGACAGTAGGAACACAACAGTGGCCTCCATAATGCATCTTGTTATCTTCAAAGTAGCTGTTTTTACCATCAGACATAATAAAATCAAACAAAACAGAACAGAATAAAACCAATCAAAACAATGAAAGCAATACAGAACTTCAAAAAGAAGACAATGGAATACAAGAGTGGCTACCTTAATGCATCTTGTTATCTTCAAAGTAGCTGCTTATACATCCTATAATAAAACAAAACCAAATAGAATAAAATCAATAAAAAAACTAGCAAAGTAATACAAGGATCCAAGACAAGATAACTGGAAATCAATAATCACTACTATAATACATTTTGTTATTTTCGAAATAGCTGTTCATGCCATCAAATTTGATAAAATCAATCAAACAAACAAAAAGCCCAGAATAAAACCAACTAAACAGAACACTGAAAACAACACAGGGTTTCAAGATGGGTTATAGATCAACAGTGGCCGCTGCCTTCCCCTTCTAGATCTATGTCTCCTCCCCTTTCACCTTCACATCTATTGTGCATTTTGGATCCCACTAACTCCTTTAGTTTCTTATACTAGGGAGACAACACGATGTTCACTCACATGATGCACCATTACACCCATGAACATGATCTCAAGTTGTAGATCCATTTATCTACAAGAGCCTTTTTTTTTTTTTTTTTGCACAGGGGATCAAACTCATGACTGTGCGCTTGCAAGGCAGGCACTTATGCTGCTGAGCTAAATCCCCGGTCCCCTCAAGGTTATCTTTATTTATAGCTGAGTAGCTTTCCATTGTGTAGAAATTTCATTTAGCTACCCCCACTGCTTTCTGGTTCCCTGCTTCTTCTCCTTTGACTTTTAGTGTATGAATTTCCTTTTAAGTGTGTTTCTTGAATAAAGCAAATTGATGGATCCTGCCTCCTGACCCACTCTGCCTGTGTTTGTTTTTGTTGGTGAATCGAGGCCATCTGCATTAATGGTCACGGCCAGCATGCCTGGGCTCATCTCTGCCGTGCTATTTTCCTGCTGTTGGCTGCCTACCTCCTGCCCTCCCCGCATTCAACTGTCTGCCCCGCTCGGTGACCTCCCTCAGCTGCTGTCCCTGGAACCGCGGGCTTTTTTTATCTCTCCCTAAGATGTCCTTCAGTATTCTTTCTAGGATTGGTTTGGTGGTCATGAATCACTTCAGTTGTTCTTTGTCATGGAAGTATCTTTTTTCTCCATTAATTTTGAAAGATAGTGTTCCAGGGTACATCAGTCTGGGTGGGCAGTTGTTTTCTTTCAGGACTTGAAATACTTCACTCCAAGCTCTTCTTGACTTGATGGTTTGTGCTGAGAAGTCTGTCGTGATTCTGATGGGTTTTCCTTTATAGGCAATCTGGTTTTTTTTTCCTCTAACATCTTTTAATATTCTGTTCTTGTGTTCAGTTTCTGGAATCTTTATTGTTATATGTCTGGGTGTAGATTTATTTTGGTTATGACTATCTGGAGTTCTATATGCCTCACATATCTGTGTCTCGTGTCCTATCCCATGTCTGGGAAGTTTTCTGCTATTATTTCTGTAAATAGAATTTTAATGTCACTTGTGTTGACCCCTTTTCTTTCACTGACACCTATTATTCTTGAATTATTTTGCTTTGCATCATCTTACAGGCATTAAATTGTTATTTCCTGGTTCCTTGTTATTTTTAAGAGGTCTTTCCTTTCACGGCGGCAAGCCGCACATCTGTCTTCAGGGTCTGAAAGTCTATCTTCAGTTTCTTTCAAGTGTTGTGCCAACTTTCAATGGAGGTTTAAATTTCCTGGATAACTCTTTAAATCTGTTTCATACATTCTAAATCTCTCATACTTTTCATTCATGGTTTCCCTCATTTTTCTATGCTCCTGTATTTTTTATCTATGTCTTCTTTAGAGGTGCCTAGCAATTCTTTTATTATGTTTTTCATTTCTTCTTTTGCCTGAGATAGTATTTCTGTTCTCATTTCTTTTATAGCCTCATGAAGTCGTCTCTTTGCTTCAGCTGCCATCCCTTCAGAAACTTCAGGCATGCGGCTCCTGATCTTCCCCACGTTTTCATCTCTGGGCTCGCTCCGCTTGGGTTGGAGTCCAGGGACTGTCTTTTGCTTCTTCATCTTGGCATTTTCTTGGTTTCTCCAAACAAGCGGGTAGTGGGTTCCCAGGCACTTCCCACTTTGGCTACGATTTCTCCCGAGCATGACTAGTTGGTTCTCCTGGCCAGTACTGGCCACAGGTATCCAGTGGTGGCCACTGGGTGGGCTGGTACAGGCCCGGCTGCTGTTTTTCCCAGCGCATGCTGGCGGCCTGGGATGGAAGTGGCCGAGGGCTGCTGGAGTACGCAGGGGCAGGGCTGGCTGCTGCCTGCCTACTGAGCTCTCTAAACTGTTTCTCATGGGACACAAGTTGTGCAGAATTTGAAGGACTATTCAATCTGTGGACTAATGTATTTTAGAAATATTGGATGAAAGAAAGAAAATAAATGCAATCGCATGATTTGCCTTCAACATATATTTATAAATTTTTAAGGAAGTGATGGGAAGAAGTTGTTGGGACCTTACCTGGCTTTAGAATTTCCTTGGGAATACCCCATGTGGCCTTTAGATGACAAACCGAAATGTTCAATACAGATATTATGTATGACACCTGCCGGGCTCCATGTAGCTCACACACCTGCCTCTAGTGAGGGACATCTATCCATGTAGGATGTCCCCAAGTGCTTTTCTATATACAAAGCAACAGCTTCTTTTGTGCAAGCACCACACTAATAGTCTAGTTGAGGAATACCTATTCCCCTCCGACTGATTCATTTGTAAGTAACATGTGGCTGTTCTGTAAACAAAGCTGACCCTTGTTAGCTGGGTTTGGCCCAGATAAGCCTCAGATCCAGCCAAGGAATTCAATTCAAATACAAAGAAAGCTTCCAGCACAGGCAAGAAGGCAGCCCTCTCCTTCCCTGCACCAAGTTGCCCTCAAGTCCTAACTTAGAAAGATGTCACCGTCTTTAAGAAGGCACCTGTCTTTGGTTCTCCAGAAGAACCTGAGACAAGGCTTTGATTGTGAGGAATTTTGGGGAAGCTGTGGTGGGGACAATGGAGGTAGCACAAGTGTGTGAATAAAGAGGACCTCAGGGTTCAATCATACTGGGTACCTCTGGCAGATACTGGTCAACATGGCTCAGTTGTTCCACATGAAGGGCAACCCAATGTCTTGGCTGGGGGGTGTTCCTAGAAAATGTATCTCCTTGGATGTCTCAGCCACACATGCAACTAAGGCCAGAGGAAGCTAGAAGAGTCACTGGTGTGACCAGGATTGGTGGCCAAAGGGAGGTGAAGGAGCATCTTTTCCACTTGAGCTGCTATAACGAGAAGCCTTAGACTAGTTAATATATTCATAAATAGGAATTTACTGCTCACAGTTCTGAGGACTCTGAGCCTCAAGCACTCTATTTAATAGCCCAATGCATATTTAAGATCAAGACCCTTTCAGTGCCCAGGCGGGCCTTGGTCTCTGCTTTTCAAAGATGGCGCCTTGTTGCTGTGTTGCCACGTGCTGGGTCACGTGGTGGAAAGAAGGCCCTCAGGGCTCTTTTACAAGGGCACTAATCCCATTCATGAGGGCTGAGCTCTCATGACCTAGGCATCTCCCAAAGGCTCATCTCTTCTCACCACCACCAAGGGGATTAACTTCCAGCTTGGGAATGGAGATATATTCAGACCACTAGCAAGAGTTACGGGAGGCACCAGTGCTTTCCAGAGTCCACTTGGTGGTTCAGTTCCCATGCTCCTCTGCTCCCACAACTCACAGTACTAAATGTTTCAGACCTTGTCTTTCTGGGGGTAAACTGTTAGCCTGTGTGCCTCTCTTCTTGAGGTGGCCAACCTGAGGGCCTGAATGCCAAGTAGCAGATTAAAATGAGGTGGAAACAAATGTCTCACACCGTGCCTTTTCCAAAGTACAAAGATATAAAACCGCCTAAGGGAGCCCAAGAGTTCCTTGATGGTACATCCGGGCTCCTGGAGGCATTGGAGCTTGCAATCCCTCTCCAGGACGCACGGTCTCCAAAGTGGGATTCTTTTTTTTTTTTTTTTTTTTTTTGTCTTTTTCGTTTTTATCGGTACCGGGGATCGAACTCACGACTGCCTGCTTTCAAGGCAGGCGCTTATGCCGCTGAGCTAAATCCCCAGCCCCTCCAAAGTGGGATTCTTGCCGGTCCGCCGGGGTGGTAGGGTACACAGATAAGCGTGGTAGTCAGTTGCCCAGGGAATGTCAGTTACTGTCCCTGTCTGCAGAGCACACACTGTGTCGAGTCTCGTACTCAGCACCCTGTAGGGACATGGGGGGTGCTTTGGGGTCACCTCCATGTCTCCACGGGTGCACAGCATCCTGCACATTACAGTGACTTCTTGCTACATGTTGGGGGCTTCTCTGGCTAGTGTGTGCTCAGCTTGTGTACACAAAGGCCCAAGGTGCCCCGGGATGGCGGTTAAAGCCAGGGTCTCACCTCCTGGGAGACCTCTGAGGTGTGTTGTCCCAGGGTCCCCATCAGGATGCTGCTCCGCTGCCCACAGGGGTAACCTCCTCGTGAGCACGGTCATATTTGCTTTCTTCTCTGTTTCACCTCCCCACTGCCCTTCCAAACTCTCTGCACCCCACCAAGTAAACTGTTTTTATTTCCATCCTCACCTCATGATTTATTTCTAAGACAACAGGGGTCTTTCGGTTAACCCTGCAGCGGTCCTCTGGGTGGACAGAAATAGCTTCCTCACTTACAGCTGGTCAAAAGGAAGCTCAGAGGTCAAAGCCTTGGGTACTGCGCCACCCACCGCTTCCTTGAAAATGGGCCTGGGAGGCCGCCCCTGCCCGCGCCCCTGCTCCCCGCCCCCTGCTGACCCCGGTCTGTGTCTCCCGCAGGAAGGGCGCTGCCTGTTCATCATCCTGCTCATGGCGGTGTACTGGTGCACAGAGGCCCTGCCCCTGTCTGTGACAGCGCTGCTGCCCATCGTCCTCTTCCCTTTCTTGGGCGTCCTGCCCTCCCACAAGGTCTGCCCCCAGTACTTCCTCGACACCAACTTCCTCTTCCTCAGTGGTCTGATCATGGCCAGTGCCATCGAGGAGTGGAACCTGCACCGCAGGATTGCCCTCAAGATCCTGATGCTCGTTGGGGTCCAGCCGGCCAGGTGAGCAGGCTCACAGCCCGCCCGGGGGGAGGCAGAGGGACCACCCTTCTCGGCATCAGGTCCCTTCCTGCCATCATGGACTTGCTCATTCTCGGTTACTGTGGGAACCCCAGGGTGGGCCAGGCGCGGGGCTGGGCCACCCCTGCACAGCTGTCCTCGTGGTGCATAAGGACAACCCAGAGAGGGGTCAGGATGCTGACCCGGCCCACGAGGCCCAGAAAGGCGATGCCACTGGCTCAAGGTCAAAGCTTTGGGTGCTCCTGTGTCCACTGCTTCCCTGAGAATGGGCCTGGGAAGCCCTGTGTGGTAGTTTTAGGGCAGTGTAGGCTAAGGCTGCTTGGGCTGTAGAAAATGACTTCAGCATATGACCTAGCAATGCCACAGGACCTGCTCCACAGAGCCAGTGTGAGGGCGACAGGCTGAGCACAGGTAGCTGGCTCAGCCTTGAGCAGTAAGAGGTGACTAGCCACAGCCGGTCCAAGTGATGAGGGCCGGGGGTGTCGGGGAGATGCAGGGGGGTTGTGAAGATGGCCTTGAAGAGAAAGAAGCAGGTCCCAGTGCTGCAAGGCCTCAGGTGCACTGGCCAGGATTCGAACTCTTATTCCCAAAGGAGTAGATATCTGTCAGTCACGCTCGGCAGTGCTGGGTTCTAGTGAGGAGTCCAGGGTGTGAGCTGGTAACAAGAGGAGATGGGAAGGAGGCTAAGACAGACAAGGGCAAGGTGGCAGCACCCTCGTGTCCCTGCTGTGATCCTAAAACCAGTGCCATCAAAGATTTGGGGGCAAAGGAGAGAACATGTCAGGTTTGGAGTGGCTTTAGCATAACCTGACCTTGGGTCCCTGTGGTCCGTTCACCTAAATGTACCAAGCACTCCTTAGACCCAAAGTAGCCCAGATTACCAGTTCCCATTTTGCTATTAATTTGCTTTTGCATCTAAAATGAACCAGTTGGATGCCTCAGGGATGGCAAACCTGGACCAGAGGAACTCCTGGGCCCAGGGGTCTGGATTCCTGTCTAGCTCCCTCTGTCATGCAGGCTTATCCTGGGGATGATGGTGACCACCTCATTCTTGTCCATGTGGCTGAGCAACACTGCCTCCACCGCCATGATGCTGCCCATTGCCAGTGCCATTCTGAAAAGCCTGTTTGGCCAGAAGGAGCCTCGGAAGGACCTTAGCAGGGAGAGTGAAGAGAACAGAGGTGAGGCTGTGCAAAGGCTCTGGGGCCCACTCCCCCAGAGTGAAGGGGTGGGAACAGGGATGCTGGGCAAGGACAGGGGAAGGAAACACTTACTGGGCACCTACCGTGTATCAAGTATTTTTTGACAGCATTTAAATAGATACTCAACATCACTAATACCCAGAGAAATGTCAGATGAAACAATGAGATGTAAATCAGCAAGGTAACAAAAATAAGGAAGTTGGATGTCTTAGTGAGCTTTCTGTTGCTGTGATCAAAATACCTGACATATTCATCCTAAAGGAGGAAGGGTTTGTTGGCTTACAGTTTCAGAGGCTTCAGTCCATGGTCAGTTAGCTCCAAAGTTGGAACCCTGGAGCAGGAGAGCATGGAGGAAGAAAGCTTCTCCCCTGGTAGCAGTTGAGAGTTGAGAGAGACAGAGAAAAGGAGGCTGGGACAGGACGCACTCCCCACAGGCCACCCCAGTGACTTCCCTCCTCTGGGTGCCCCCTCCTCAGAGCCCATTCAGCTATGCACTCATCCTCTGAGGAGTTGGGTGCCCTTATGAGCCAGTCAGCACTTTAGACCCCGCTTGAGAACATTGCTGCCCTGGGGCAAAGCCCACGGTGTCCGAGGCTCAGGGGTGCGCTTCATATGTAAACCATAACATTGGCTAACGCCTAGCACCAGCAGGAACAGCGGTCATGGGAACTCTTGTGCATTGCTGGAGAAGTGTTGTCCAGGTCAGGCTTTCTTAAGGGTGCCTGCGAGCATTTAATCCACAAACACTCAGAAAGAAGAGCTACACCTTACATCCATCTAAGAGGCTGCTATGGGAAGGGTGGTGAGAAAATGGGGCTAGAAGAAATTGAAAATAAATATGTGAATAGCCTTGAAGGGGTCTTGTGTAACAGATAATGATGATGTGCCATGACCCGAGGGTTTGAGTGCCTCGGCCCTCTGAAATTGTGCTCTTAGCAGAACAGAACACAAGCAACCACTGTGTTTTCAGATGGTGATATAAGGTCCCAGAGAGAGGAGGCGGTTAACTTTTCCAGGTCGTGCTGCAGGCAAGGGGCTAAGCCTGAGTTTGAACCCAAGCTATGTGATTCCAGAGCTCATCTGTTACCTACCAAGCCAGCCCTGTCAGTCTGCAAGCAAAAGAGCTCCTGTTTTCAAGTAGTTTAAAAAATAGAGATTTTCTTCAGGTATTAAGTCAGAGAAAGACAATTCCAGGAACAATTCAGATTCACAATAGTATCAAGACTTTTTGTTAAAAACTGTTATTCTTTCAGTCTCTTACATCCACTTTAAAATGCTTTACTTTTGATTGATATTAATGCCCGTTTAAGGGAAGCTTTAAACCCACGCATAAGTGATCAGAAGCTTCTAGCTGATCCCCAGCCTCAGTTCTGTTGCTCTTCTAGTAACAGAACCTTACAGGGGCACATGGCTGCACAGAGAGAAGGCAGAATTTCCCAGCCTCCCTTGAAGTCAGGTGACTACACTTGGTCATTGGGACCTAAGTGGAAAAGATGTGTGTAACTTTCTACTTCTGCCCTTCCTGTGTCCACTTCCTGGCATGTGGGTGTGAATATCGCGGTGAGAGTGAGAGCTGCCCCTGGGGACCGGAAGATAGAAAGTGCATCTCGAGGCAGACAACACACCAGTCCCAGGAGATTTGCGTCATTTGCTTTAAACACACATTAGCCCCAAAGCCATCCGTTCTGTGTGCTAGTTACGTTCTTTTTCACATGTGAGCTGTGATCAAAAATTGCAGTGAATATTTCAGTTTTAAACTGACCACAGCAATGATACATTACTACTGATACCTCCAAATAATCCCCTGCCTTTGCATACATCCCAGAGCTTTTGCCACTTTCTGAAATTTTTTAAAAATGTGTGTGTATGACGGGCTTGAATTGATTCAAAACACTTCCAGCAATGTCCATCGAGTAAAAACGTTACATTGTGTCCTCATCCGGTACCTTATTGACCGGACCTGGCACTGTGCAACTTCTGTGTCTTCTCCAAAGTTAAAATGACTGTGAAAGATAAATGTTTTGAATCAGTTCAGGACAAGGAGGCAGCTCTAACAGCACCCACTAAAGACACCAACGAAGAAGACCTCCAGAGCTGCTTCAGAAAGTGGCCAGAGTGATGGGCTAAGTATGTTTGAAGGGAGGGGGAATTTGATGGGAATTAATGGCAATCTGTCTTTTACGGTATTGTTACATGTTTAAAAATTTTCAACAATCACTGGAATTGTTTGACCATGTGTTGTACGTGTTAAAATTCATATCCGTTAAGGGTTCGATGTTGATCCATGTCCTCTCCAAGTGGATTTCTGTTGCTGATAGTTGTCCAAGTACCATGCACTGAAGGGTCCTGCTTATTTTATTTCTGCAGCCTCCCTCAAAGTTAGAAATGACATAAGCGCTGAACAGCTGGGATCCAGAGAAGTGAATTGTCAGGTCCAGAATCTCGTCTCTGGTGAGGTAGCAGAGCCAGGGTCTCCGCAAGGGCAAAGTCTCCCAAATAGAAAGCAACAGATGCTGGGCGGCAGGGGCTGGCAGATGTTCCCTGTAAATAACAGACAGTAAATATTTTAGGCTTTGTAGGTGACTCTGTTGCAACCACTCAGTTCTGCCTTTGAAGACAGTGGCAGGGTCCCAGTGGGCAGGGTTACACGGCAGTCGAGCCTTACTTGTGGGCGCCAAAATAAAAACATAACGTGCACAGCCCTGGCTGCTATTCTTTATTGCTCTTCTCAACCACTTACGTGTGAAAACTCATTCTTCAAGATGCAAACTATGGCTTGCCCACCCCTGTGCTACGCCATTCTCTTTATGATTTTCAAACTGTTTACGTGGGTCTTGAATCTGCGGGAAAACCATCTCACAGTCTCACTGGGTTGGCAACAAGCAGTTAGGGCCCTGCCCCTCCCCATCTCAACCCCAGCTGCCCCATACTTTCTGTTTTATATTCTGGGCTTCTAAGGAACAATGGCAGATGATTATTGAACACTTATTTTGTGCAAGGCTCTTGTAAGGGTCTTGTGTCTGAATGAGGGAAGCTAACTTTGACCTCCTTTTGAATAATGGAAGTTGAGGAAGAAATAGAGGGAACGTGAACCAGCCTCTGCCGTGTCACCCAGTGGAGACCAGTGGCTCTGAGCTTTTAAGTTTGATTCAGAGATGCAGTCCTTCCTACTACTCTGCCCCTCACAGGAGACATTTTTCAAAATGACCAACCGTGGCTGGCGGTGCAGCTCCTGCACAGGAGGCCCTGGGTTCTGTCTCCAAAGTTTTAAAAAGTCACATCTGTGTTTGAAGGCTAAGTTCCTCACTGTAAAGATGAAAATTCTGATTCGGAAGCGGAAGGGACTTGCTCAAGGTTGCATGCAGTACCAGCTGTGTAGTTTTCCCTGCATTGCCAGGTGTGGGGAGGCAGGGAACCCCCGGTGGCTGGGTAACACCGGCCTCCTCAGGCTGCAGGATCAGAGAGCAGAGACACGAGTTAATGATCAGCCCCCGAGGCCGAGGACCAGGCTAATTCCAGTGCAAAGAGAAATGTTCTTTTCACCCAGTTTCTGTGCTTTGGCCCGGCGGCCTGGGGTGAGGACAGGTGAAAGAGTGGAAACTTGTGTGGGTGGATGAGCAGAGGGAAGGGGAGTCACCTGGGCATTTAAGTTCATCAACGGCAGTGACACTGTCAGCCACGCTGGACTGAGCTGTCTGTTTCTGAAGACACCCCAGGCCGGACTCTGCGTGGTGTCTCCTGCCCATCACTGGTCACCCTTTGTAGCTGCACTGAGATACAGGTGGTCTCATTTTACAGATGACAAGGCTCAGAGAGGCAAAATGATCTGCTGAGTCTTGTCTAAATCCAGAATTGGTGCTATGTGCCCCCGCATACAGGGGAGCAGAGGCTGGGCTGGGGGTGCTGCTGGACTAGCGCCCAGAGGTGCTCAGCCGTGGAGGGTAGCCCTGTGCCTCTCTCTAGTCCTTGTACTCAGTTCTATGCTCTTCGTGGTCACCTGAGTGGCAGTGTCTTCGGTGTGCAGGCTCTCGTCCCCTGCAGGGAGACGCGGTTCTCATCCTGCTGGGACAAAGGAGGAAATGATGCTCAAAGTGGTGATTTCCCCAGTGCTCCTCCACCAGGGAGAAGCCCACCCGGCTTTGGAAACTAAAATCTTTCCCCTCCTCTCCTTTGCCCAAAGAAGGCCACTGTGCATGCCATCTTGGCTGCTTAGGAACGTCCGGCTGGATTAGACATTGTCCTCCTTCACTGTGTTCACCGTGCCAGTCCCCCCTCCGACTCTTCTATGAAATAAAAATAGATTGTTATGAGCGCCAAATCAATCAATAGACATTAACTTGCCTAATGTGGGGCTTTTGACTTTGCTTAAGCTGCTCTTTACCTAATTCCACACATGAACTCTCTCTCTCGAGGCTTTCTGTGTGCCCAGCTCCAGGCTCTCTGAGTTACACTGGGAGGGGTGCTCTAGATCGATCAGGCCCAGGACAGACCTACTAACCCCCAGGTGGGTGCCTTGGAGACGGGGTGAGAATCAGCGGTAGGCGATCAAAAAGCCTGGGTACAGCCTGACTCTGCCGCTAACCCACCAGCTCCCAACCTCGACCTGCTTTTCCGTACCTCAGTTTCCCCAAGCAGATAATAAACCTAGCTTGACTCCCCAAGACTGCTCCAACATGGCTGTGAGCTTGCAACTGTAAAAGTACCCAGGCTCCCACCTGATGTAAACTCAAGAACCCATGTGATTCGAGTAAGCTCTTACATAAGCACCCAGCTCGGGACTGACCTGCATTTTCTGGACCCAGAGAAGTCTCTGGAGACTTTGCCCCACCAGCCTGCTTCTGTGTGGTGTCCAGGCCACTGTGGTCACAGGAATCCCAGACGCGGGCCCCTCGGTAAATGGGTAAGAGCACCTGCCTTGGTTGTCCTAATTTTTCCATTGCATCTCTGGTGTCTTTATCATCATTAGAAAAATAAGTCCTGGGATAAAATGCTCTACGTTACTGATTTGCGTAAAGAAACAGGGAAGCTGCCCTCACCCCCTGGCTAAGTTGGTCACTGTGGTGTGTATACCAGTGCCCCCACCACTACCCGCTGTCTCGTGCCCAACTCAGCTGCTGGCAGCCAGTAGCCAGGGCCCATGGGTGAGGCACATTGTGTGTGGGGGGGAGTACAGGCCTTCCAAAGGCCTCCGTTTCCCCATCTGTAACTTTGGATGAGTGCTCTCAACCCTGGCTGCACCTGCAGAAATTTTCAAAGGTACCCAGATCCCTGCCCAACTCCAGAGCCACCAACAGACCCCCGGGTGGGACCCAGGAGATTCTAAAGGGCAGGTGGGGCTGAGGAATGTGGTGGAGGGTTTGGCCTGGCTGTGAGTTCCCAGGTGGGAAGGCCAGAATGAGGTGGAGATGGGTGAAGCCAGAGGTCACTGGGCCAGAGTTCTTCCTGATGGACCATCCCCTGCAGAGCGACTTTGTCCCGAAGCCCTCAGTGTGCTACTAACAGCCCTTCCGTGCCGCCTGCTTGAGTGCCCTGAGCTCAAGTCTTGCGTACTGCGTGTGGACATGTGTTCCTGTCACCTGAACTCTGCGGTTCTGGTGCACATGGTCCAGTGGAAGCAGACCTGACTTTCGGCCTTCAGACCTGGCTGGTGGTCAGCAAGGCTGGCATCAGACACAGCAAAAACAACACCGTCAGCCACGGTGTTCCCTCTTGGTGCTAAGAGGGAAACTGCAGCAAGGTTTGCAGAGGGACTTCCCTGAGTCACTGAGAGGAAATTGCTGAGGCTCGGTTAGAGACCCTTCCTCCCGTGCCTTGTGGCGGAGTGCATGGGCTGATTTCCCACGCCATGTGGCTGAGGCAAATCCCATGTGAAAGAAAAGATCAAACTATATTTTCCTGCTGGAGCACCTTCAGAATATCAATGTCCTTCAGCCAAAGATCCCCAGGGAACTTGGCTACCTGAGTGGAATTTATTTTTCAATGCAGTAGGAGTGACAGGTGATTCCCCATGCAACCTAGAGTGTCTCAGCAAAATGTTATTAACAAGAAGGTGGGGCTTTGGGGATCACTTGCAGGACGATTGGTGGGCCAGGGTGGCTCTAGGTTGGGCACTGGTAGAAATCTGGGGCTGTCCTTTGGTTGTTCACTGAGCAATAGAAGACCTGCTCGGCATTTCTGTGGGTGGCGCAGTGGGCTTGCGTTAGATGAGATGATAAAGTGGGCTTGTTTTGCACCGTAGTATCTGCCTGTGGCTGTGGCTGGTGCTCTGCAGATTGCTGAGGTCTACTGGAGACCCGCGTGATCTGTCTGGGAGCAGCTTGCTGCTTAGCTTCTCCTTGGACTGTGATAGCCCTGATGGAATCTTTGCCAACGCTCGGCTTTCATCAGGGTCTTTCGATCAGGGCTTGGCATGCCATGGCCCACCACCAAATCCAGCACAGTTTGTTTTTGTGCATTCAAAAAGCAAAGGATCATTTTTATATTTTAAAGGGTTGAAATAAATCAAAAGAAGGAAAGCTATTTTGTAATGTGGAGATTATATGAAATTCAAATCCCAGAGTCCAAACTCCACAGGGGAAGAGCTGACAAGTTACCACTGTGATGACGGGGCTCCCAAGGTCAGAAAAATTCACTTCCTGGCCTTTTCTGGTCTCTGCTTTATTTATTACTGCTACTAATGTGTGTGTGTGTGTGTGTGTGTGTGTGTGTGTGTGTGTGTTAGAGGAGGGCTTGTGCATGCCAGGCAAATGTTCTACCACTGTGCTCCAGCCAGGCCCCGGTTCCTGCTTGCAGAGGGTTGAGTTTCACCCTCTTGGTGAAATCCTTGGAGAACTGTTACTTCTGTTTTCAGGAATTAAAGATCTGAAGAACAGGGAGGTTACAGGTGCTTACCTAAGCCAGTGTTTCTCAGCTTCAGCTCCTTTGAAATTTTGGATGGGAATTTCTTATACAGGTGAGCTGACCTGAGTATCAGAGGATGCCTCTCACCAAGAGATGCCAGGAGGGGGTCCTTTCCCCCCAGCTGCGACATCCAAAAATGTTCCTTGGGGATGGAATGGGCTCTGGATGGGAACCACTGGTCCGAGGCCACTTCCTAAGTGATGGAGCTGATCTGAGCCCAGGGTCACATGTTTAGCTCTGTGGAGTGGCTTCTTTGATCCTTCATGGTGGCTCCAGCCACAGGAACTTTTGGCTCATCCCATTTTTCTTATCTAATGACACTGTGAAAGGCTGCTTCGGAGTCTGATCTACAAGCAGAAGGACACTTCAAAACTGAAGCCAAATCTGGTCTCAGCCTGTTCTGCTCAAACACTGCCCTGCCTCCCACCTGACTCAGAAGTCAAAGTCCTTCCTTGGAGCCCCAATACCCTCATGTGACCCAGCTCTTTCCTGACACCCCTGCCATGTCCCCTCACCTCTTTTACTCTGCTCTCTCTCAGGCCTCTCCTGTCCCACATTTCCTGTTTCCCAGCACAGGGGGCATGCTCCTGCCTCAGGGCCTTTGCAACTGCTCCCATTGTCCCAGGTATTTGCCTGACCTCCTTTAGGCTTCTGTTAGATGAAAGAACTCTTGAAAATGGTGTCCACCCTAGCACACTGTCCCCTCCCCTGCTTTAATGCTTCTGATATAGTGTACTTTATTACACCTGTGTGTGGTCTGTCTTCTCTCCTGGAAGACAAGCCCTGAGGGCCTTGGATTTTCGTGTCTTGTCACAGCCTCAGGCACACAAGTAGCCCCCCACAAAGGCAGTCGAATGGATTGATTTGCTGCAGTCTGTGTGATCCCAGTGGCACTGAGCTCTTGTTTCTAAAGAAGAGTGGAACCATATCCAGGATCAGTCACTCTCACCATGATGCTCTTTCCCCAGGCACCGTGCGGGGGAACGGGCTGCACACCGCGCCCACTGAGACTCAGTTTCTGGCCAGCACACACACAGAGGGGTAAGTTCCTGTTGGAGTGGACTGAGAGGGCCTGGAGTGGAGGAGAGTTGATCTGCAGCCAGCCACCCCCAGTCCTGAGTTTCTCGACCCAGTGCCCAGATGTCCATGACTTGCCCCTGTGGCCTTAATGGGGTCCTTTAGAGCCTCCTTCAACAAGTCCCCTGTAAAAGTATGGGGGACATTAAGTACCATGGGGGAGAAGAGAGCAGGAAGAGAGCCGGGGTAGGGGGCTGAAGGATGGGAGAAGCAGCTTCCGAATGGGTGCCCAGGGAAGGCCTTGCAGGAGGGCTGATCCTGAGCAAACCCCTGCAGGAAGTGGGGGAGCTGTGGGGAAATGTTGTCATCACAAGGACGAGCGTATGTGACATTCCTGAGGGTGCAGAGAGCTCTCCAGGAAGCCACTGATGGAGGGACAGAGCATCTGGGACCCCACAGGACACTGATATAGCCTTCACTTTGAATGAGATGGCAGCCTAAGAGGTGGGACGTGACCTTATGTCTGGTGTACCCCACAGCCAATGCTCCTTCCTGGCACCATGTTTGGAGGCTTTGAATCTATCTTTGAAACAGGGGTTCTGTGATTGGACCAACTACTCACCACCATGTGACCCAGGAATATATTTTAAACATCTGCCCATGCAAAGCTTGTTCTGAGGGGCTTTGAAAAAGACCTAGATTCTACCATCTGGAGGTGTCTGTTCACTAGGTGCAAACCCCTCCCCCTCTCTGGCCCTCAGTGTTCTTATCTAAACGAAGCAGAGATTGTGCTAGATGAACTCCAGGGTCCTTTATACCCTGTCCTGCTCCTCCTGAGGCTCTCCTCCTCCTTCTGAGGAGGTCTGGTGGGGACCCCCAGTTCGAGGTTCCACAGCTCCTGACCATGGCTCCCAACCCTAAGAAGTCAGTCCGTGATTTTAGTTTCTGGCTCTTTTCCTTTTCTCAGGCTGGAACCCAACTGCTCAGACCACAGGTCAGGGCCTTGTTGACCTCTGGGGAGAAATCCCTTCTGTGGCCAGCAGGTGTTTGAATTATATTTAGTCTTTAAAAATAATTTTTAAAAATGTTTGTTATGCAGAAGTAATTCTGGTTTTAATCTTCATTTCTTTTCCAGATTTATTGAGCATAGCTGATAAAGTAGCATATCCATATACAGTGTGGTGTGATGTTTTGAGCGACAGATGTATTCTAAAAGGATTACTATTGTCAAGCGAGTTCATATAGCCATTGCTTTGCATACTTACAGCAGTTCTTAATTTTATCTGCTTAGAAACATTTTATGACAGCATAAGTCAAAAAGTACTCTTAAAAAATTTGCTCAGCATCTTGCACCCAGAGGCAGGTTGACACTGCTAAGTGGACACTGTGCTGGGTGATTTCTTGATATCTCTGTGTGTTACGCATTTCTGAAAATTAAAAAAAAAACCTGGCCATGCCATTTACACTCTTTCACAACCCGCTATGTCTCAGAATGGAGTGCGGTGAACATCTTTTCACCTCAGAAAACTCATGTCAACATTATGATCTCTTGATATGATCAATAACTCTCATTTAATTATTCCTGAAAGCTAACTGCACAAGGAATACAACCTCCCAAATTCAGATAAAGAATTAATGGAAAACACACCAAGAAAATACCCAAACAACATGAATATCTAAAAAATAACATCCTAAATAATGCTGATCCTTCACGTACACCTCCATCTTACAAAGCACCCATTTAAGTAGCTATTTTGGTGATCTCCCCAAAGAGCTATCCTTCTGTGTCGGGGAGAAAATTGGAGATTGAACTCAGGGCCTTTGCACTGAGCTACAACCCAACTCCCCCTTTTGAGACAAATTGTCCAGTCTGGGGTCAAACTTACAATCTCCCTGCCTCAGCCTCCCAGTTTGCTGGCATTACTGGCGGGCACCACCACCCCGGCAGCCAATTCCTTTTTGATAGATGTTCAGGTTGTTTTGATTTTGAAAATTATGTTTGATGCCACGGTGGCCTCCCTGGTGCCCACACGGGAAGCGCCTGTCTCGTTAGTACTCTGGGGCAAATTCCTGTAGAGCAGTGGAACCCAGGGGTTCCCGTGCTTTTGCCAGGATCCCAGAAGACCCCTTGGCTTCCCTGATCCCCGAGCAGCGTGTGGCCCTTATGTCTGGGAGGCTGGTGATTCTGACTGAGTTCTGAACGGCTTCTTTTTGGGTCACCGGAAGCAGAGGCCACGCTGAGGAGGTGGAGGTGCCGCTGGACCTGCTTGCTGACTCCAAGAAGGAGGAGGACTATCACAGGAACATCTGGAAGGGCTTCCTCATCTCCATCCCCTACTCGGCCAGCATCGGGGGCACCGCCACCCTCACAGGCACCGCTCCCAACCTCATCCTGCTGGGCCAGCTCAAGAGGTGAGAGCAAGTGTCCCCACCTGCCTGTCCGGGCTCCTCTCTGCTGCCCTCCTGGCTTCCCCATCCAGGGGCTCAACACCGAGCAAATCTCAGCTCACAGCAGCCTCCATTCGACTGGGGGAGGTCGGCAAGAAACAAAAAGGCACAGGAGTAGATGCCTATGTGTGTGACAGGAGGGACATGAAGCAGGGTGAGAAGGTAGAAGTGACAAGACCAGGGTCCTGTGGTGAGCTTCCTCCCCTCTGCAGAGGTGACCTTTGAGCAGAGTCTGAGAAGGAGGATAAGAGCTTGTGGACACAGACCGGAAGAGCATTTCCGACAGGGAAGGTGGATACGAAGGCTCTGGGGTGGGATTGTTCCCAAGGAGTCTCAGGGAACAACAAGAGACCACGAAAGTCAGGCTTGGGTGTACATCCTTTAGTCCCAGTTATTGAGGGCTGAGGCAGGAGGATCATCGTGCCCACTAACTGGAGACCACCCTACGCAGCACAGTGATACCCCAGCTCCTGGGGGGCTGGTATAGATGGGTGAGGGAGAGGAGAGGAGGAAAGGTTACACGGCATCGTCTGAGGACTCCAGCCTTCCCCTCCAGTGCGTGCTGAGAGCAGAGTTGTGATCTGGTGCTTTAAAAGCGAACTCCAGCGGGAGGCTTTGGTTTGCATCTGAAAGAAGCCTCAGGCTCTGAGGAGGGCTCGGTGCTGGGTGCCCTCTGCCAGGGAGCAGTCCTCACACGTGTTCCTGTTTGGGCAGTGACCAGGCTGCTGGAGTTTCAGGGTGGGAACAGGAGAGGCTTCCTCCGCTGCAGGGCCTCATTCCCCTCCCAGAGTTTAGTTTCTAGAGTTTAAAAATTCCAGACTCTGCCCACGATGTGCAGATTCCAGGATTCTGAGAGGCTGGTTCCTAAGCTTCTTTCGAAGTGGAGATGAAGTGTACTATGGTCTTAAACTTGCAAAAATGCAAATAGAACCAACCAAACAGCAACCAAAGCTATTTGGACTTGGCTTGGTGACTTCTCTACCTGGTGCTCAGTCAAAGAGTCAAAACCAGGGAAGATACTGGAGGGCGGGTCCTGGTGGTCTCCTGCTCTGGGCTTGTGAGGAATCCAAGTCACTTCATGAGTGTTCAATGCATCTGAACGCTGGATAAGGCGAATTCTTTGATTTTTGAGATTTGATGCTAGAAAGCATTAGTGCTCAGACTCCTGTGCCTGTTGGAATCAAAGGAAGTAAAACAAAACTAAAAACCAATAAACAAACAAACCACCCGAGATCTCCCTTACTGAGATTCTGGTTCAGGGGGTATGGAGCAGGGCTGAGCACCATGTTTTACAGAAAAACTGTAGCTGAGATGCTTCTGCTTCAGGGCCGGGAGAGTCTAGGCCTGGCCCTTCCTTTTCTTAATTTCTTGCTGGGGCAGGCTGGGTGCTTGGTGTTGGGTTTGCTGGAGCCCATCCCAGCCCTAGAGCTGGCCAGGATTCTAGGGCTACAGAACAGGGGCTGTCCCCCCCTGGGCTTAGGCAGTTGCTATCCTAGATTTTCAGGCTGCCTGACCACCCTGCGGTGAGCAGGACTTTGCGCCAACATGAAAAGAGATTAAAAAGCAAGCACTGAGGTCCATCAGTAAAAATACCAAATATGTAGGCTTCTGAGTAAATTACATGCAGCTCATATGCTACCTGGGCCTTTTGTATGGAAACAGGGCTTCAAGAGAAATACCAGGCCCAGGCATGGTGGCACAGACCTGTAATCTCGGCACCCTAGAAGGCTGAGGCAGGAAGGTCACAGATTCAGTGCCAGGACAGGCAATTCAGTGACAGTGAGATCCTGTCTCAAAGTAAAAAAAATCAATTAAATTAAAGGGCTGAGGTTACAGCTCAGTGCAAAAGCCCTAGATTCAACCCCCAGTACCCTACACACACACACACACACACACACACACACACACACACACACACACACACAGAGTCCCAGGCAATCTGTGGCTTTTGTTCTCCAGTAGGGTCAAGGAAAATGGCCATTGTAGGTCCTTCACCCTGGCTCCCAAAGGCCGCTGGTTTGCTCTGACCATAAAGTGATATGGGCACATTATTAAATACCTAGAAATCATAGAAAAAGTCAAGAGTTTGAAGCACCCTCAGTCCCACTGATAGTAGAGCTCCTTTTAGACTTTTCTATACCTGTACCTGTATGCATACACATATTAAATATATATGTATGCATATTTAAAAATACTGCATAATAGTTTAATGGTAGGATTTTATAATTATAATTTTTTTGTCTTTTGAGACAGGGTCTCATTATGCAGTTCAGGCTGACCTTGGGCTCACTTTGTAGCTCAGGCTGGTCTCGAACTCACAACAATCCTCCTGCCTTAGCCTCCCGAGTGCTGGGATTACAGGCGTGAGCCACCACACCTGACTATAAGATTATAATTTTATAGCAAACTAAATTTTATAGAAAAGATAAAATTTTAATAATTAAAAATTAACCTGTTTTGGGTGTTATGCTTTGTAAATCATGAGCATTTAGATTATTTTAGTTTTATTAGTTTTACTATTATGAATTATGTCATAATTATGAATTATGGTCAGTCACATATCTATTAATATTTTACTTTTTAAAACAATATTTTTCTTTTTTTATCTAATTACAGAGGCATACTTAGTCATTGTAGAAAATACAGATAAAAAAGAAAAAGAAAAATTTCTCAGAATCTCATTAGTGTGTAATGTTTTGTCTGTTCATTTGCTTGTGTCTCACAGCTGGGCTGTGCCTTCATTTATTTAGAAATGTCTGTTTGTGTCCACATACTTTTGTGTACATCATTTTGTCAGCTGCCAGTCTCTTTACTCCCTTAGGCACCCATGTGGTTGGTCCCCAGGGCACAGATGGCACCCACGTTTGCAGTGGGTCAGGTCTAGCACCCCTGAAGAAGAGCAAAGGGCGCCTTGGTCACACTGTCCCTGACACCCAGGGGCCTGGTCCGCTCTGCCCGTCCCCGGCTGACCGTGCTCTGCCCTCACCGGCCCTGTCCCACAGTTTCTTTCCACAGTGCGATGTGGTGAACTTCGGCTCCTGGTTCATCTTCGCCTTCCCACTCATGCTGCTGTTCCTGCTGGTGGGCTGGCTCTGGATCTCCTTCCTCTACGGGGGGCTCAGCTTCAGGTACCTCTCCCCACTTCCCAGGGGAGGCTGCAGGTGGGGGACACAGCCTGAGCCTCCAAGCAGCCTGAATGGCTGAAGTGGCCTCCCTCAAAAACCAAGGATGGTTGTTCCGTTTGTGATGTCGGGTCCAGTGCTCAAGTCTTGACATCCAGCGATGTGAGGTTTACGGGAGGAAGGCGGGACAGCCTGGCTGCCTCACCCAAGCCCTCAGTAAGCGTCTCCCAACATTAATAATACTGAGTGCATCCTTTTCTAAGTAAGGTGAACATGCGTGACTAGTGGAGTATAGAGGGGAGGCTAGGGCTTCCCATTTTATGAAGACCTGCACCAGGGATAGTTTGGAGTGGTGTGAGGACGAGGTATGAAACCAAATGATACAGTGGGAAAACATGCCTTTACCAACTCATGAAATAGACTTGGTCATGTTCAGTAGAAAGTCTCAGTTGGGTGTTTGAGAAAACTTAACAACCCTAACCTTTTCAAATCAACTCCTTGAGCAAAGGAAGAGCAAACTTCAGTCCCCGATTCTTAAGCCAGTGGTGCTATCTAGCCAGAATGTAGCTGTGGTGCTTTGCTTTTATAGACTTATTTTGGTGGTTATTTTATACTTATGATAAGTGATCCTTATTTTTCAGTTATGGGTTATACATAAAAGTTTCTATTTTAAAACATGCATTTAATTAAAGCAATGAGTCGATTGGAGGAAAATACAAAGGGTGATTGAAATATATGGTGCACATGGAAGCAACCAAGATCATGGGACTTACATAGGCCAGAGTGCAAATCACAGCTCCTTACAATCTTGAACTTTTGTAACTTTCCTGGATCTCTAACTTCTTTAATTTCTCCTCTTATACATAGAGAAAAGACATTAGCTCTGGCTCAGATAGGGGCTAAGTTACGGGAGGGTGTGAGCTGCTCAAGAAGGGCCAGAGCCAGCATCCCTTTATCTCAGCAACCCATGCTAATGGCATCTGTAGAACGTGGCCTACAGGATCCTACAGAGAAAAGGTGCAGAGAGGCTCAGGGAGAGAGGTGCTTCTGAGTCGTCAACAAGAAACTTCTGACCAGCCCTGCAAACACACCTGCAATTAACAAACACCTGTGGTTGACAGGTGGTGAGGTGCTGCTATGGGAAGACAGAGACTGCACTCCCTTTGGGGAGTCTGCACCCTAGGCAAGGCACAGACTGACCAGGAGCCATTAAATATGGTAGGAACATCCAGACACACCATAACATTCTGCTGATGGCAGGTGTTTGCTGCATATTCCTTTGTACAAAAGACATTTAGTCTATCTCTAAGAGTTGTTGAAGTTCTAACAGTTTCAGCATTGCAGAAAACTCCAAGTCCCAAGTCTCCTGTGAGATCTAAGGCAAACTCTTAGCTGTGAGCTCCTGTATAAATGAAAAGAAAGTTAAACACTATCAACATTAAATGGTACAAGATAGACATTTCTATTCCAAAAGCTACAGACAGGAGGCAAAGCAAGTCCAAAATCCAGCAGGGCAAACATTAAGTCCTATAGTTCTACATGCAGCATCCAAGGCAATCTATGGTAAGTTGTGAGCTCCAAAGGGCATGGGTGACTTGCCTCTATGGCATTTCTGGTGGCTGTAGCTCCTAGGGCTTCTCTCTTGGGTTCACTCTGTTCCTTCCTTTCAGTTTTCCTCAGATGATCCATGTTCCTGGCTTCTCCAAACTTCTGAGGCCTCCACTGCACTTTAGGCTTCACCCTCACAGCTTCACATATTGCCCTCTCAGGAGTACACTGCCTGGTCTCCCAGGTCTTCTTCTGAAATCTCAGTGGAAGTCTTCTTAACCCCACAGCTCTTGCATTCTGCATGCTCTTAAAACCAGCACCACGTGGATGATGTCAAGGTCTGCTGCCAGCTGGAGCAGTACCCAGGCTTCCCTCTTTCATGGCTATAGGGGTCAAGTGCCTGGATCACTGAGCATTCTGAATCCAACTCTGAGGAGCAAATTCTCTATCCTGCCACCCTCCTGGAACATGGTGCTCTGGGACTTTCTTCTAAAGCAAAGTCTTTCACTTTTGCAATTTTAAGGTTGCAAAGGGTGGAGTCCTGCTCCTTTCTGTGATGCCCAAAGACCACCTTTTCTATTACCCTGTTTCTTTTCAGCAATCAAGATCTCCTCTGCTCTGTCTTCGCAGGCTACAGCTTTACTGAAGCTTCCACTATGACCAAGCTCACAATATTTTAAATCATTCTGCTGGGCCCTGTGCTCTAGATTCTCAACACAGATCTGGCTAAAGGCCCCCAACCATAGCCACTTCACCTTTGACTGGCTTGAAATTTCTTCAGAAAGGTTAATTAGTCCACCACCCTAAGTCTCAGTCTCAGGCAAAGTCTCTGAACATAAGCAAAATGTGGAGAAACTTTTTTCTAAGCCATAAAACACATCATCTGGACTCCAACACCAATGCTGTCTTTTCTCCCAAAAGAAACCTGCCAAACCTGGTCTTTACCTGCCAGATTTCTATCAGCCTCTTAGTCTTCTGAGCTTTGACCAGAATCTCCCATGCAGAACATCCTAAAGTGTTAAACCTCTGCTCTTTCAGGTAACATCTCCAAACCTTTCCAAACTCTTCCCACAAAACATTCCTAAAGGCTCTTGAATCACATGGTTACGTATAGTCACAGCAATGACCCCACTCCTGGTACCAAATTCTGTGTTAGTTATTTTCCTCATTGCTGGAACAAAATACCTGGCACCCAAAGTCAAAGAGGCAAGGGTTTATTTAGTTCACAGTCCATAATCGACTGGCTCCAGTGCAATGTGGCACATGGCAGAGGGGCAATAGTTCATGGTGGCAGAAGACAGCAAAAGCAACGGGAGCAAAAGGGGAAAAGGGAGGATCAAGCCTCTTTGTCTCCCGTGTACAGCACAACAGCTTCCCACCCTAGGGTGGGTATAACTCTCACACCCTTAATCCCAGGTTAGACAATGAACCAGTCACAAACTCTAGATTCAGATGCCTGTGAAAAGCCTGCTTCCCACTGCATGACCACATGAGGCTGTAGGGGGACATCCAGACACAAACCATAACAATACGGTATATTCTCCATCAGAATTGTACTAATTGGCTCTCCCATTTACAGTGTAAGAGAGAGTCTATTTTTCTGCAGCAAATTGGATTTTTGTCATTCTGAAGTGACAATAATTTGTGTTTATTATGGAGAATTTTAGCAAATTTTCATGTTTGGAGATCATCAGTGTTTCCTCTCTGTGAATTGTTAAACTGTGTACTTATATCTTTCTTTAAAAAATTGTTTTGAGACAGTTACCCAGGCTGAGCTAGAATTTCTGATCCTCCCAAAGTGGTAGGAGTCAGGCGTTATCACCCCCAGCAATCTTGTACCCTTTATATTGCAAGAGTTAGCACTTACTCTGTAATTTGAGTTGTAAATGTTTTCACTGATTTGTTCTTTGATTTTACTTATGGTGCTTTTCCCCCTAGAGAATTCTTTTATAAGTGTGATGTTTGAATCTAGTTTCAGGTGCACACTTATCCCAACACCATTTATCAATGTACAGAATTTTAAAATTTTGGTGAAATACTGTTTTCGATTGTTGGCTCCTTATGCTTGTAGTGTTCTAAGAAATTTTGCCTAATCCAAGGCTGTGAAAATTTGCCTCTGTGTTTTCTGCCAAGAGTTTTATGGCTTTAGCGCTTATATTTAGGTTGTTAATTTATTCTGAATTAAATTTTGTACATGGTATGAAATAGATGCCCAAATTCATTCTTTGGAACATGGGAATCCAGTTTGTGTAGCCCCATATGCTGGCAGATGATTCCTTCCCCACTGAATTGTCTTGGGATTCTTGTCCACCACCAACTGGCCACAGGGGTATGGCCCATTCAGCAAGTGGTAAATACGGATCTGTTCCATTGATCTATGTGGCTGACACTATTTACCACTTTTCCACACCAGTCTGAGATACCAACTAAATTCCCATTTGTGATGTATCTATTTTTAGACTTTCTAGTTTGTTCCATTGATTTACCTGTTTAGTCATGAGCCTGTTGACTCACTAGAGGGTTTTAAGCCTGGGGAAGTCATATGATTGATCGCAGTTTTTAAAAGTCAAGCAGGTGGGTCAGTTCTAGAAAGGGAAGACGGGGAAGGAGACCTGGTGTCAGATGTGGCTGGCCGGGTGGGGTGGGTGGGTGAGAAGTCAACCACATCTCCCGGACACTCCCCACCTGCTCTCTGTTCTAGGGGCTGGAGAAAGAAGAAATCAAAAATCAGAGCAGATGCAGAAGACAAGGCTAAAGTTATGATTCGGGAAGAATTTCAGAAGTTGGGGCCCACCAGGTGTGTGAAATCTTGGGGTGGGGGAAGAGCTGGGCATGGAGCCTAGAGATGGAGCATAGTAGCTGACTTGCCCAGCCAGCCTCTTGCTTGGTGCTGCCACAGATTCCTTGAGCACTGTAAAGCCCTTCAGGGTGTCCTTGGGGTGAGCACCTGACCTTCCCATCTCAGACACCCTTTCCCTCCTGTGTGTGGGACATCTGACACCGTGTCTCATGGCTCCTAGGACCTGGTTCAGTGCATGTTTCCCATGTGGTTAAAAATGACTGAGATTTAGGTCTGAGTTCCAGAAATGGCTCAGCCACTACTTCCTGTGTGGCACTGGACAGGATGCTAATCCTTTCTGGGCCCACTTTCCAGTCTGTGAGCTGGATGCATTTGGGTAGCTGTTTCCTCCAGGAGCTGCCTCTTTTGACCACTGTGAACCCTTCTGTGCATGTCTGTGCCTGTGTGTCTCTCTCGGCGTACCTATCTATCCTCTTCTGAGCAGGTTATCTGTCTGTCTCTGTGTGACTATTTCTCTCTGCCTGCTTTTGCTAGTGTCCTTTTCTCTCTCTTTTTTTCCACCTCTATGTCGGTTTCCTACATTATTTCTTGTTTTCAGTCTTCCCTAGGACCCTGGCAAATTCCCTGGGCCGATCAGAGAGAGTTGGGGGAGGGCAGGGGAGGACCTGGGAATGAATGATTCTTTTCAGCTTCTTCAGAGGTGTGGCCTGGGTCCAGTCAGTCATGGCCTGAGCCCTCATCCTGCTCAGAGGTCAACTCGAACCCAGGGTCACCAGGAACCTGCCTCTCTGTGTCACAGTTTTGCCGAGCGGGCTGTTTTCATCCTGTTCTGCATGTTTGCCATCCTCCTCTTCTCCCGGGACCCGAAGTTCATCCCCGGCTGGGCCAGCCTCTTCAAGCCCGGGTGAGATTCTGGGGACCCACGGTTTGAAGTTCTGCAGGGAGGATTGTGGGGTGGGCCACACGCAGCTGGAGAGGCAGCGAAGCCAGGAGACCTGTGTCCCGGTTCATACCCTCATCCTGTGTCACTCTGCTGTTACAATGACTTCTTTCCCTCCCCAAAGCATTTAGGTTTGAATGATAAAACATTTAGTTTCTCGGGTGTCAAAGCTTTGGCTTTAGAGTCACACAAAACTGCTAGAACTCTTGCTCTGCCCTTTACAAGCTTTGTGATTCTGAGCAAATTATCCCTCTCTCCTCCTTTCCCCCTCCCTCGCTTCTTTGCTCTTCCTTCTCCCCCTCTTCCCTTCCTTTCTCCTTGTTTCATTATTTATCAAGGACCAATCAGTGGGGCCGATTGCTGACCATCATGCTGGTTGCTGGCGACGCAGACAAAGCAAGTAGTTAGACAATGAACAACTGCATGTTGTACTGAGTGCCATGAAAGGCTGTGTCATAAAAATGACAGAGCAGGGGCCTTGACTTTGGACAGTTCTGAGCCCACACTCAGGAAAGGGGGCGATGAAAGCAGTGGATACACGTGGGGTGCATCCACTGAAGCCCATGGTGGGAACAGGCAACGTGTGCAAAGGATTCAGAGAAGCCCACGGGGCCCTGAGGGAAGGAGAGAAGTGGACAGGGCACAGTGGAAGGGTGAATCAGAGGGTCTCGTTGGGCATGTTAAGCATTTTGGTCTTTTTTGTTTTTTCTGGCATCACTTTGTTTTTTCTGGAGCAGATAGCGGAGGATCTGAAGTTATGTAAGCCCTACCATGCTTCCGTTTCCTCATCTGTAACATGATGTAATAATACATTTCTTTGAGTGATTCTAAGATCCATAATATAGTGGACCTGCGTATCTGCAGGTTCTACATCCATGGATTCAACTAACCATGGGTCAAAAATATTTGGAGAAGGATGACTTTTGTACTGAACATGTACAGAGTTGTACATGTTGTAATAATTCTCTAAACACTAGTTAATAATTCATATAGCATTTATATCGTATTGGTGCTACAAGTCATGTAGGGATGGTTTCAAGTATGCAAGAGGATGTGTATAGACTTTTTGCAAACACTGTGCTATTTTATAAGCAAGTCTTGGGTATTCACTAATTTTAGTGTGCAGTGTGAGTCCCGGAGCTTCCCCCCATGGATCTCAGCTTGACTGTACATGTCAAGTGATTAGAATGCCAAGTAGAAAGAACTTGATAATCATTAGCAATGTTCATCAGGAAATGGCTAGCACAGGCACAAGTAAGTAAGAAACACACCACCTTCCAGGCAGCCTCATGCTCTAGGACAGGGGTCAGCCAACTGGACCTCATGCACCAAATCTGGCCAGCACATGCTTCTGGATAACTTTTACATTTGAGATGCTTAGAAAAACTACAGGACAAATACTACTTTGTAACACATGAAGGTTATACAAAATTTAAATTTTGATGCTTACAATAAAGTTTTATCGGGCGGGACACAACCACAGCTATTCAAAATGTATTACCTCTGCCTGCCTCCACGCTGCAAAGTCGGCGCTAAATTATTTGTAACAGAGGCTGTGTGGTTGCAAAGCCAAAAACACTGCATGGCTCTTTACAGAAGACATTTGCTGACACCCAATCTGGCAACGGCTTCAGTGAGGGTAGTAGCAACAGAGTTAGGGTGTTGTGTTCATCAGCTTTTCATCACTGGAACAAAATACCAGATGTACACAGATTAAAGGAGAAAAGGTTTATTTTGGCTCCTGTTTCTGAGGTTTTAGTCCACAGTCAGCTGGCTCCAAGGAAGAAACATCATAGCAGAAGCTCATGGTGGAGAAAAGCTTCTCACCTCAGGGCAGCCTAGATGCGGAGGGTGAGGAAAACCCCTTTCCAGGTTACACCCCAGTGACCGACGTCCTTCAGCCAGGCTCTGTCTCCCAACAGCACATTTAACTAAGAACTTGCATTGATCGGTTCTCACTAGAGAGACAGATTTAATATGTGCAAGGTTGGCTTACTACAGGCACCTGCAGAGTCAGAGTGCAAAAAGGCTGCCTGCACAGTGGAGATCCAAAGGATCCAGGCAAAAGTAAATTCTGGAGCTCACTACAGAGTCTTGTGCAAGTCCATGCAAGAATCTGAATTGGAAGTCAGGAAATGGACATCCAAGATGAAGGTGAAGACTGGAGTTTGTTCCTTCCATTCTTCCTTCTTTCCTGTTTTTATTCCATTTAGGCTACAAGCCCTCCGCCGGTGCCACTCATGGCCAGGGGCGCTCTTCTATCCTCAGTAAATCCACTTGGCCACACCCAGAACTATGCTAAGCCAGTTAGCTGGGCATTTCTTACTCAAATTGACACAACAGTCAAGTATTACAATCCACCCCTTGTCAATCTGACAATCAAACACACTTTCTTAAACCATATTTAGCCTCCAGATACAAAGCTCATCATTATGCCTGACATTGTACAACTATCCTGAAAACAAATGGAAATGCACTAATTCTCTCCCCAGAATACAAGGCAAATGACTCTTGGGGTGATGTTTACTCCTAGCATTTCATAGCTTAAACACTTAACACAGGGTTAATAATGCTTAAGAGCCAATATTAAGTCTATTGACATTAGGTTACTAAGGAAGCATATTAACAGCTATAATTACAATCCTCATTTCTGTAACTGGTCACGGGGTTGTAGTCCATCTTCTACTACCCATTCTCTGTTCCTTGGCCTTCAGCGAGTCCCAAAGCAGGCCTTGGTTCTTTCCCAGGTGGGATGACTCATATCTTCGTTTGTGAAGATTCGGGGCCATTTGTCATCCTGCTTGGACTGAGGTGTAGTTTACCAGTGACCTTAATAACAGGGTATGGTAATGCTAGGAGGTGCCTGCCCTAAGGGACTCCTACCTCTGAGTATACTCTTCCTTTCCTCTGTTGTGGAGTGGACAGTCTAGGTCGGTCACCTCTGCCCACACCGTAACTCCCTTTTTAGCTTGTTTACTCCCAGGCACAAGAAGCCCAACATGACCAGGGGGAAGTCTTAGCTTCCAGTTTCATGAAATCATTGTTATGCTTCCTGATACAAGACTTCCACCCTTCGGAACTAAGACTTCTAGTCTAGCAGAGCAGAAAGTCATGGGAACAAGCAGGAAAGAGTTTGCTAGTGGATCACTATGGGCAATGGTGAGTGGTACCATTCCCACTTCTACCCCTTGATTCCAGGGCCCATGAATCCTGGCTATGGGAGACACAGTACCATATAGTGGGTGCTGATCCAGATTTGGCAGCCTTTGAAGAACCTTGCTCCAGCCCTGCAACCTATTGCCACCTAAACTGACACTGTAACTACATCTTCAAAAGGCCATCCCACCTTTCTATCATTCAGCTGCTTCTGGATGGTGAGGGACATGGTAAGACCAGTGAATTCCTTGAGCATGAGCTCATTAACTCTCTTATTTGGCTGTAAAATATGTTCCTTGGTCAGAGGCAATGCTGTGTGGAATTCCATGATGACGGATAAGGCACTCTGTGAGTCCATGAATGGTAGTTTTGGCAGGAACATTACATACAGGGAAGACAAATAATTGTGCCAGTAAAGACAAAGCACTGCCCTTTACATGGTGAAGAAGATCTAATATAGTCAATCCTCCACCATGTTTCAGACTGATTGCCCTGGGGAATGCTGCCATAGCTATACTCAGCACTGGTCTCTGCTGCTGGCATACTGGGCATTCAGCAGTGGCTGTAGCCAGATAGGTGAGCGTGAGCCATTTTGCTGAGCCTAAGTATAATCTCCATTCCTTCCACCATGACTGCTTTGTTCATGGGCCCTTTGGGCAGTGACAGGGATGGCTGCATAAACTGCTATGCATAGAATGGTCATCTTATCCGTTTGACTGTTAAAATCCTCTTCTGCTAAGGTCACTTTTTGTTGAGTGTTTACGTGGACTAAACTATCTTTAAATCCTTTGCCCATATGGAGCAGTCTGTCTACATACCTGTCCCCAAATATCTTTATCACCAATTTTATAATCATGTTCTTTCTAAGTCCCTGACCATCTGGCCAGACCATTGGCTACAGCTCATGAATCAGTGTACATCTGGCCATTTTTCCTTCCAGGCAAAATGTGCTAGTAGGTATACTGCCCAAAGTTGTGTCCACTGTGAAGATTTCCCTTCACTGTTGGCCTTCAGGGATGTCCTGGGAAGGGGCTGTAATGCTGCAGCTGCCCACTTGCAGGTGGTGCCTTCGTAGTGTGCAGAGCCATCCATAAGCCAGGCCCTGGCCTTCTCTTCCTCTGACAGCTGATCGTATGGTACACTCCATTAGGCCACAGGTGCACGCTGGGAGACAGGGGCAGCATAGCAGGAGTGGGAACTGTGGGCATTTGGGCAACTTCTTCTACTTAGTGAAGTGGTAATATGCAAAGCTGCTGTGCATATCCAACTTTATGACTTGGTGGGTCAGATAATAGCAAGCTCATGAGGGGCAATTCAGGTCACATGATAACCTGGGGCTCCAGGGCCAAGCCCTCACTTTCCACTAAGGCTGAGTAGGAAGCCAAGAGCTGTTTTTCAAAGGGAGAGTAGTTGTCTGGAGATGATGCCAGAGCCTTGCTCCAAAATCCCAAAAGCCTCCACGAATTCACTCATCTGTGGGGCCCTGCCAGAGACTCCAAACAGCATCTCTACCTGTCACTGACTCTTCAAATGCCGTTGCATCTGCTCGATCATACGGCCACAGTGCCAAAGCAGCCTGCACAGCAAGCTCAACTGTTCCAAAGCCTTCTTCCATTCTAGGCCCCACTCACAACTAGCAACTTTCCAAGTCATTTGGTAAATGGGCCAAAGTAAAACATCTAAGTGAGGAATGTGCCTTAAAATCCAAATGGATTCTAAGAACCAGGTGCAACAACTTATCTTTTGCCTTAGAAGGATATCTCTGCACGCTCCCACACCACTGGACTTCTAGAAATTTCATGGAGGTA